CTTTCAGCTGAATGGTGGGCCCCTCACAGATCCCTGGGAGGCCAACATAGCTCCCTGGGAGTTTCAGCACAGACCCCTGAGAGGCGTCTCAAAGTAACCTGTGCCCTATTTTAAAAATCACAAACTTTTCACTTCTTCCCATTTCAGATGTGTTGGTTAAATGGGTATATCCTTAAAAGATTCCTCCATTATTAGTCATACTCCAATATTTGTCTATGCAGAAACAAGCAGGTTTTAGGCATAACTATTCCATTCTTGATCAACACAATGCTCTCTTTATCCTTTTTGAGAAAATGCGTAAGAACAAAGTAAAATTTGTTGCTTCTGATTGCTGCATCAGTTAATGCTACATTAAGTTACAGGTAACAAGAAAACAAAAAAACCAGGCCAGGGGAGGGGAGAACAGTAGGACACTAAAATATTTCCTTTTTGTCATATAACAGTCCAGACAGGGCCAGAACTGGAAGTTATTCAACAGTGCCATAAAGAATCTAGAGTTTAGGGCCAGCGGGTAAAGGCCCCTGCCACAGAGCCTGAGGACCTGAGTTCAAATAGGGACCCACACGGTGGAAGAGAACCAACTCCTTCAAGCTGGCTTCTAACCTCCAGAAGCACACACACCTCTCTCTCTCTCTCTCTGCTCCCTCTCTCTCTCTCTCTCTCTGCTCCCTCTCTCTCTCTCTCTCTCTGCTCCCTCTCTCTCTCTCTCTCTCTGCTCCCTCTCTCTCTCTCTCTCTCTGCTCCCTCTCTCTCTCTCTCTCTCTGCTCCCTCTCTCTCTCTCTCTCTCTGCTCCCTCTCTCTCTCTCTCTCTCTGCTCTCTCTCTCTCTCTCTCTCGCACATCCACACATACACACACACACACACACACACACACAAATAAATAAATGTAAAAAAAATCTAGACCTTTAGACTTTTTCTTCCTGTACCACTTCTTTAGGTGTGAAAATCAATCCCATGATTACCAACAAAGACTGCAGTCCACATGGAACAAGCATCACTGAGTCCAGCTCTGGGCTGGGGATATGGCTTAGTGGTTCTGCCAGGATGTTCTCTACCACTGGGCAGAATCATGTCATGAGGTCAAGAAGAAAGGCTGAGGGATTGTGGGTCTTAACCCTATGCACTGCCACTGAGGACAAAATCTGGACTTTGTGTACAAGAAAGATGGGGAGGCCGCCACATCTCCTCAGCCACAGAATACATGGACACGACCCACAAAGGGTGATGCTGGCATGGGTGTAGGTGGCTTCGTCTTTCTCAAGGACACACTGTATGAATGCTGTCCACACAGGAAGAAGCAGGCTTGGTCTACAGAGACGTTCACCACATTACTCATTCATATCAAGTTAATTAACAATTTTCAAGCACCTTGTCTATGTTTGTCATGGGGAGAACAATGAAAAACAAAACAGATGTAGTCCTAGGCTTTACACAGCATCCCATGTCAGACTGAACCAAGAAAGAAGTCAAACAGGACAATGTAGCTGATTCCATTCTGACACAGAAGACATTTTCTTAAAATATTTATTTTCAAATTCTGTGTATATGTGTGGGTATGTGCACGTGAATGCAGGTGCCTGTGGAGACCAGCAGCATTGGATCACACTAGAGCTGGAATTATAGGTGGTTGTGAGCCTCCCAGCATGGATGCTAGGAACCGAACTCAAGTCTTCTACAAGAGCAATAGGCACTCTTAATCCCTGAGCCATCTCTCCAGCCCACAAAAACAGTTTTTAAGCATGAGTGTTCTACTCTTCTCATGAGTAATACATGGGTCATTCTTTCCATATTAATACAGTTTTTATAAATCATCCTAATCTTGAGCAACTCAGCACCCAACAGACTAACATGAAAGACAACATTGAAGATGTTATGGGCAGTGTGAAATAGTAGAGACCAATGCCTGCAGCTACTTGGTATGTTGTTCAGCTCAGCATCCCTAGCTGGTGGGTTGGGATAGATTTGTTTCAGCAGCAGTGACAACCCCACACATGGCTTTGACCATGAACTTTCCCTTCACATTTCCCAGTCAGTTCAGTGACTGACTCATGCTAAGGACCCAACAAATATACTTGCTGACCTGAACTCAAAGTTACATCTCACTCTGCTAGAATGGTAAGAATTACACAGGAATTGTTTAAGGTGAAATTAGACGGCTGGAAATTCCTGACCTTTGCATTTTGGAGTTATTCTCTATGCTGTACATTAATGTTTCCCAACCAATATGCCAAGGTATACTACTGCATCTGTGGACTTGCATACCTAAAGATGGTGGTACAGACAGTTTAGCATTCATACCGCTAGAAAGTTTTTGCTAAGGGTCTTTTACACACTAGGTATGCTGAAAAACTGAATGTGTCAGTCCCTGGGTGGCATGTCTTCTTGGTGGGCCATACAAATTCTACCCCTGGCTCTATATGGCAGGAGTGAGCAAGGCTTGCTTTCTATGGTACATAGCTCAATTTAATATTCACATAAACATGAATGCACATACTTTCCCAGAGGGCCTCCCTCTGCATAGCCTCTTAAGAGGACAAAAAAAAAAAAAAAAAAAAAAAAAAAAAAAAACCCACCCAAAACAAAACAAACCAAACCCCCAAAATAAAAAGGCTTTTTATTTATTTACTTATTAGTATTACATGGACTCATACACACAAATCCATTGTGGAAAGAGAGAGAATCTAAACTTCAATTTTCCCAACAGTCTGAACACTGCCACCAGACCGTCATCTGGAATATAAACGCCCTCTTTCCCATCAGCAGCACAAAGTGTACTTGAGACTCTTCAGCTCCCCTTTCACAACCTGTGTGCTATTCTATCCTTATCAAGTCAGGTGGGAGGGGTGGTGTTGGAGAAAGACTGACCGAGAAGAGGCTGGACCCTTGTTTAATCTCAGTCCCCTAAATTCTATTCTTGCTCTCCATTAATTTAGGATGTAATGCACTTAGCTTCTGCTCCTCACAGAAATACCACCACCAATCCAGGACTCAAGACCATTGCCTAAGGTGGGCAAAATGGCCCTGTGGATAAAGGTACATGCTATATTGTCTTATCTTTTGTAGCTCTGACATCCAATCCAGTGGGTAATGCCAGCAGGAAAAAGCTCACACACCCATCTATGGAATGTAAGAAACAAGCAGGCAAAATATACCAACATGTAGCAACTCACAAAATTTCCCTAAAAAAGGAACTCAGGGTCCAGAAGCTAATCCCTGCTGAGGGGTGAAGAGTTTTACTACATGTAGCTTTAAAACAGACTTAAAAATGGATCGGCTGCGGGGTGTGGTGGTGCACGCCTTTAATCCTAGTACTTGGGAGGCAGAGGCAGGCAGATCTCTGTGAGTTCAAGGCCAGCCTGGTCTACATAGTGAGTTAAGACCAAAAGAAAAAAAAAAAAAAAAAGGATCTGCTGCACAAGCTTTTAGAAACTATGTTTAGTGGGTCCAAAACAACTAACAATTGTTTTAGTGAAGGCATGGGCTCTGAAAAGCCAGTCTTCAAGACTACAGAAGTCAGTACTGGTAAATTCATTTAGATGAGGGGGTCAAAGGCCTTCTTTTGTAAATACATAGATGGATGAATGGATGAATGAATGAATAAATAAATATATATAAATAAATAATAATTGCAATTCTTGGGCCATCTGTAACAGGTCTGGAGTGCTGACTGCCGACTCTGGCTGTGGTACAGGAAGTACAGGTGCCCCTCCTGTCTGTCCCTGAAAGGGAAGCCGGGTGCCAAAGCCCAAAGGAAAGGGCAGAGGCTCTGGGATTGGGTACCAGGCTACGCGTGGTTTAAAGGCCCTGAGTGCTATATTTGGAAAATCACTTAAAGGTGACTGCCAAGACCACAGTGAATTATAGTCGTTGTAAGCTGGGTTTCATGATTAAAACTCTGGAGCCAGAACAATTCTAGAGAAACTAACACTGTAAAGGACACGGTCTTGCCAGTTGGCACCACGTGGGGCAGAAATGACCACATCAACACGGCTCAGTGTAAGCCCAGGAGGCCCTGCTGTAATAGCTGTGATAGAGTGATGGACTTAAAAAGTCATTCTCCCAGAAGGGCAAGTGTTGCTATACACACATACACAACAGCAGCCTACAAGTGCCCAAGGTGGTCCTGCACGGTTAGGGTTTTGAAACTATTGAAAAAGTTGCATGCCTGGGAACCTCAGCAATTGGAGGTGGAGGCAGGAGGATCAGGAGTTCAAAGCCAATCTGTGCTAAATTTTCTGACAATTGAAAGAGATAAAAAAGGATAAATAGACACCAAGAGCCAAATATTATGAGTTCATTCAAATCCCTTTCCCCCAGTATTTTTCTTCTCCGTAGATTCCCAATAACTCCCAGCCAGGACAGAAAGTTGGAGAAAGGACTCCAGCGATACCTGCTCACCTCTCCCTCAGGATTCGCCCAGGGCTCCCCGCCCCTACAGAGCCCGAGCCCCGCCCAGACGCGCCTAGCCCCTCCCCAGAAGCGGGTGCCCGCCCACCACGGGAAGCTCCGCCCAGACGGGGGAACCCGGCCCCAGACCAGGCGGCCGTTTAGGCGCGCTAGCCCCGCCCACAGGTGGGGG